ACTTGAAGTACTTACTGTTGAAGATTAAGGACTATGGTCTGAAGTATGGATTACACCTCAACATAAAGAAAAAGGGTAGGCAAAAAGTTTTTAGTTATGAATTGCCAATTAATCCATGTATTAGTTTAATAAAAGTGATGAAAATATATTAAATGCTTCAAGAATATTTCAACATTTTAGGAACAGTACTATGACTTGGGTATATTACTAGCAGTAGAATTGCTGGGCCATATGGTAGTTCTATTTTTAGTTTTCTGAAGATCTGCTACACTATTTTCCACAATGGCTGTACCATTTTTCATTCTCATTAGCAACAGATAAGCATTCCATTTTCCCCACATGTCCATCAACAATTGTTATTTTCCAGTTCTGTTTTTTTATTCTTAGCCATCCTAATGGATGCAAAATGGTATCACCTTATGGTTTTGATTTCTATGTCTTTGATGGCCAATGATGTTGAACATCTCATGTGTTTGGTGGCCACATATTAAAAAAAAAAAAATATATATATATATATATATATATATATATAATTTTAGCTTCCCATTTACATTCACAAGTGTCTTATTTGGATAATAAGTGAAGAGGTACCAGTTTTTCTGGGCATTTGATAAATGGTAGTTTTTATTTTTAGGTGTGTTTGTCAGTAATTGATTTTTCAGTATAGTTGGTAATATTAAGGTTGATCCAGTTGGTGGAAATGCTTCTAACTTAAGTTTTGGTAATGAAGAATTTAAAAAAAAAAAAAAAAAAAAACCTCACTGCCCTGGAGTTGGATCCGACTCATAGTGACCCCTCCTTGGGTTTCCAAGGTGGGATCACTAGCTAAGTAGATTGTCCAACCTTTCTTCTGAGGAGTGGCTGGGGGGTTTGAAACGCCAGCCTTTTGGTTAGCAGTCAAATGCCTTAGGCACTACACCACCAGAACTCCAAACAAAGAAATGAAGAATTTGATCCTTTGAATTGTATCTGGCAAGTTTTCCATGCTCATCATCCTGAAATATATAACATTCTAGTATGTAAAACTGACACATCTGTTTGAATAGGAACAAGCTAATAAGACTTATTATTTACCCATTGAAGCTTTGTAATTGTCTTAGTTCATTGCCTACCCTTTTTCTGTTTGTGAATAATTAAAACTTTAAAGATTTATATACAGAAAAAAAAAAAAAACCTCTTAGTTTAGTTAGCTTTTTCTTTCTTTTCTGTTTGTATTTAAAATACTGCTTGTTAAATTTTAAGTGTAAATCACATAACTTCTAAGAAGTTTTGTGTGGAAAACTTCCAAGTTTTTAGCTATGAGTTGCCATTTAATCCATATATTAGTTTAATAAAAGTGATGAAAATATGTTAAATACTTCAAGAGCATTTCAACATTTTAGGAACAGTACTATTACTATATATTTTTTTCTTTCTTAATTAATAATAAATTAATGTAAATAACCTGAAATATGCATCTGTGTTCACATTCTAAAATTTCTTCTATTTTGTGACTCAGGAGATGGCTGTTCTTGCTTATGGTTATAGCCTGTAGCTGTGGAACAATGCTTTCTGTGTGAAAATGCCATAAAAAGTCAGACTCTGAGCAGAACTTACTTAAATTCAGCTTTTTATTCCAAATATTACATGATTTTCTGTTTTATTGATTTGGCAGGTTTTATTTCAATACCTTATCCTTATAATCCATCATACATTTCTAAAAATTTTGTTATAAACAATAAATGTAACTGAAAGACAAAATTCTAACGTATATCATTACTATTCCTAACACATCAAGTCAATCTGCTTTTGTTTTGGGAAAGCCAATGTAAGTACTTTTTCTAGGCTAGTTACTCTCCTGAATCTTAATAAGTCTGCTACCTAACAGTGTTAGATTATTATGGTTTAGGTTAATATAAATTTAAATACATATTAATATAAATATATCAAATTAACATAAATATAAATTTAATACAGTACATAATACACTCTTTCATTTATTGTTATTCTGTTAACTTTTATTTTCTACTTGTAACCATTACAGTTAAGATATTATAAGATCTTATTCTGAAAACAGTTTCTTTTTCATGGTGCCATGTCTCTAAGACACTAAACCAATCAGCAAACTACAAACTAAAAGAAAAACAAAGAAAGAACAATTTAAGAATAATTGACAATGAAAGGGATATACATCATTCCACTAGTATTTAATTACCAATGCAATTTCAATATCTCCTGCATCTTACGTGTAAAATTGTACATGCTCGTTATGTTTTTAACATTTCATTTGGATGTTATTGTCTGTCATTTTTGTCCATGCTTTTTTTTTTTATTATTATTGTACTGCATTTTATTTTCCTCAGGACTGGTACTTGTATTTCAGTTCCTGTGGTAGCCTTGTCCTTTTTTGCCTGAGCTCTGGGATCACTTCATTTGTCTCATGTCTATAGTTAGTGATAGCTTCAAGTTCAGTAATTTGATGCCAAATTTTGATCATAATTTTCATTCTTTCTGATGGACTGTTATTTTCTTGGCATATTCTCAAACTTTTGTTTTTCCTTTACCTTTTCTTTTTCTTGTAGTTTGTTTGTATAAGTCTTATACTACTCCTTCTTAATTATATTTCTTTTTATTAGATAAGTTCTCTTGAAGTAGCTTCATGCCAGGAAATGTTCTTATTTTTTCCATCAGAATAATAAAATATCTAACACATTTAAACTACCGTTCCCAATATGGTAGCAACTCTTTGGCATCATGGAACTAGTTGAATTTTTTTTTGTGTATATGATATATATATATATATATATATATATAGCAAAGTTTGCCACTGAAACTATTTTTAAGTGTATACTTCAGTGATATTAATTGAATTTTCCCTCCCTTATATTCATCTCTCCCTCTTTCTTAACAAAGAATAATGTAACATATATATACATTTTTACTACTCAGAATTGAAAAGTTGTAGAGTGTTCTATGAAGAGGTTATGACCTGCTGATTTTCTTTGATGTGTGTATGCACAATGGCAATATTGTTCATTCAAACTTTTATTGAAAGAGATGATTGAGAGTATCTTTTCAAAATACTCTCAATATATTGCTTTAAACATTTATTTTTCTAGACTAACATAATAATTACATATGAACATATTAAAAAGGTGAGCCTCATCCCACCTTCTCCACCCATAAATTTTCTGGTAATTTAAGTTAGAGACTCTATTATTGTTTATAAAATGCACATAAACTTTATGAAGACATTAGCTTTTCAATGTGATCTTGATGGTATTAAAAGTTGATTATGACGGTATGGTGGAAGAAGTGCCCATAAAATAGAGAAGAACATATACTTTCATTTGGCTGGTGTGTTGAAGTACATGAGGTGAAAGAATGGAAAAGAAAACTGAAAGCTAAGTTGGGGCCAGGCTGTAGAATTTCTTTAAATTGAGGTTAAATGCCATTTTTTATCTGATAGTAGCGGTTATTAGTGGCCATTGAGTTGGCCCCTGACTTGTGGCGCCTTCTATATAACAGAACAAAATATTCTGTGTCCTGTGCTGTCTGCATGATAGGTTACAGATTAGACCATTGTGATCCATGTGGTTTTCATTGGCTGATCTTTAGAAGTTTATCATCAGACATTTCTTCCCAGTTTGTTTTAGCGTGGAACCATAAAACAAACCAAACTCACTGCTGTTGAGTTGGATCTGACTCATAGTGAACCCTCCTTGGGTTTCCTAGGCAGTGTCACTTCAGAAGTAGATAGCCCAATCTTCCGTCCAAGGAGTGGTTGGTGGATTTGAACCGCCAGCCTTCTGGTTAGCAGTCAAATGCCTTCAACACTTCGCCACCAGAGCTCCTTTTAGTGTGGAAGACCCCCTGAAACCTCTTCATAGCAACATGCAAACCTTCGCTGTTTGGGTAAAATGAGCAATTTTGTTAGTTCTCAGTAGACATACATTTTGTAACTAATGTAGTAGTTAAAAAGTCTAAAACCAGACTTCCTTGGTTTGAATCCTGACTACTAATTAGCAGTGTGACCTTGGGCAAGTTACTTAAACTCTGTGCTTTAGTTTCCTAATTAGTAAAATGGGCATAGAAATAGAACCTACCTTATAGAGTTGCTGTGGAGATTAAATGGATTTATACATGTATAGTATCTAAAGTATTTAGTATGGATGCAAAATACATAATACTTATTACTGGCAATTAATTTTTATATTACTATTATATAATATCATATAGCTAAGATATATTTTGTCAGTTTTACTTAAAATTCTTTTACAAATTTTGAATTTGAAGTCATAGTTTCATGCATATCTGAAAGATATATTATACAAATCTGCTTATGTTTTCATGAATGTTTAATAGCTTTCCACTATTATTAATAGAGCAAATGTTTTGTAATCATTAAATACTGCACTGTCATTGAGTAATGCTGTATTTGGCATAAGGTTTGTAGCTATGAAGCACATCCATAATGACCAGGTTTTTTTCTGTTTTTTTTTTTTTTTTTAAATAAAGGTATGAGATTCCAAGTACATATAGCTGATATATTAATGTAACTGAAGTGGTTCTAATAATAAACTTAACATTTTCTGAAGTCTTAAATAGATTTCTACCTTCCTCTCCCTATTCACTATTGATTTCAGTGGAATTCTGTAATGCAAAGAAGGACAAAGAAAACAGAAGTGCTGGCCAAGAACATCTATCATAGGAGAATGTTTCAGAAATATCTCTTGTATCAAATACATTAATTTCTTTTTATTTATTTTAACTTCATAATTTGGATTTATTTTCTGTTTAATTATTTCATTATAGAATAGAATTTTTTATTAGATGTTGAATTTCCTAAGATAGTTTTATGCAACATCATTTAAGAACATTTTCATAATTCTTTTCATAAAATAATCTAATTATCACTACACTTTTAGATTTTAATTCCCAGTCTTAAATTTAGCAATGGCAGTTTTAGAAACCACTTCTTTAATCATTATATTTTTTATCCTGCTTTTCTTCTCAGGACTAGGGTTTTAATCAAACAGGAAAAGAGAAAGCAAAAGGTAAGGAAAAAATATTTTTATTTATGTTAGTCTTAAGGAGCTCTGGTTTATTGGTTAAGGCATTTGGCTACTAAACAAAAGGTGGGTGGTTTGAACCTACCAGCCACTCCACAAAAGAAAGATGAGGCAGTCTGCTTCTGTAAAGATTTATAGTCCTGGAAACCCAATGGGGGTTGCTGTGAGTTGGAACTCACTTGATGACAGTGAATTTGGTTCTGGTTTTGGTATTGATTTTATGAGAACAGTCATCTACTGAAGACTTTTCCCAAAAGTAATAAATTCACTTACATGAAACTGAACGACCACCTTCTTTTTTGTCTTCTCCATCTTTGTAGATAGCTTGATTGGCCAACTGTTTTGTTTAGGCCACTTTAAGAATCATTGTGGATTATTGTTATCTTTTTATTTTCAAAATACATTCCAAATCTAACCACTGCCTGTAGTATTAGCACCTTAATTCAGATCATCATCATTTATTGCCTAGAGTTCTATAATGACCACATAGCCTGTCTTCTATTTACATTTCTTTAAAGTTTTTTTTTATTATTATTGCATTAAATAGTAAAGTTGAGCATATGCATACCTTAAAACTGAGCAGTATATATCTGAGAAATTCTTGCATATGTGTACTTTGAGACATATACAAGATTGCTTGACTCATTGGTATTGAACAGCAAAACAGGAAGAGAAAAAAAAAAAAAAAAAGACTAGCAAAAGAAGGAAAAAGAAGGGAAGGGACGAAGGGGAAGCAAAGGAATGACCCAAATCTGTAGAATGGATAAACAAATTGTGGTGTATCCAAGTAATAGTACAGTAATGACAATGTACTAACTACATGTAATCAATGTTGATGAATCTCAGAAACATAATGTTGAGTAGAAGTAACTCACAGAATATAAACAATTAAGGTTCTATTTTCAAAAAGTGTACAAAACAGAAAAAACAATGTATCAATTAAGGATATATTCAAAGTAAGAGTAAGGAACTCTGGTGGCATAGTGCCTAAGGCATTTGACTGCTAACCAGAAGGTTGGTGGTTCAAACCTACCAGCCACTCCATGGAAAGAAGACTGGGTAATCTGCTTCCCACTTCGGAAACCCAAAGGGGGTTGCTGTGAGTCAGAATCAACTTGATGGCAGTGAATTTGCTTTTTTTTTTTCAAAGTAAAATTAGAAAGAAAAACAAAGGAATGGTTATTATGAAAGGCGAGACAGTTCAGTGAAATGGTGCCTCATTATAATTTTAAGTTCTATTTCCTTGATTACTAATGAAGTTCATTCAGGTTTTCTCTTTTGTAATGCCCTTTTTCAAGTGGGTTGTCCATTTTTCAGTTAGTTTGCTTGCCTTTTTCAAATTGTGCCTTGAGAATTCTTTATCATCTCCCTGCTTAAAAGTTTCAATTGCTTTCCGTTGCTTTTAAAATAAAATCCAGTGTAACTATAGAGCCTATAAGGGCCTGAAGGACTGACACCCTGCTTGCTTCTCTTACCATATTTCTGACTACTTGAGCTATTTTTCATTGTATGTCAGCTGCACCAACCTTCTTTCTGCCACTCTTGTTCTCTTTGTCTGGAATATTCTCCCTGAAGATAATTGTATGGCTGACTTGTCAACATTTGGGTCTCCATTTATGTATTTCCTTCTCAGATTGGCTTTCTCTGCTTTCACTGCTTCTAAATAGCTCCTTACCCTCCAATTATTCTCTAGCCTACCACAACCTTAAAAAAAAAAAAAAAAAAAATTTGCCACTCATTCATAATCTGATATTTTCTTGTTAATTTATTTGTTTATTCTTTCCCCTCCTCCTGTTAAAATATAATCTTCAATGAGAATATGAATCTCATCAGTTTTGTTCATGCTGTATCCCCTGTGCCTAAAACTATATCTAACAATAGCATGTTGTTATTGTTATTAATGGCCTGATCCCGTGATCAGGATCCCATGGTCCTGAGCTATTCTCATGATTGGTTAATGGCATCTATAGGATTTTCATTGGCTGATTTTCAGGAGTACATCACCAGGCTTTTTTTCCTAGTTCATCTTATCTGGAAGCACCACTGAAATGTGTCCAGTGTCATGGTAATACTTAAGCTTCCACAAGAAGAGGGTGATAGAGGAGTTCCGGCAAGATGGCGGACTAGGCAGAAGGATTGCACAGAACCTCTTCAACAAAGAAAAGGGAAACCAATTAACACAGACACAGAAGATAATCGTGGACCCCTTGCCTTGAAGGGAAGGATACAGAATTGGACTAAACCCCAATTAGCAGAAGAATTTGC